TATATATATATATATATATATATATATATATATATATATATATATATATATATATATATATATATATATATATATATAAATTTGTGCATGGGGCTAAAGAGCTGCATCTTGAAATAAAAAAACCACATGATGCTTGCAGGCTAAGATTGGCGACCCCTAGTATAAACAATTAAATAATATATTAAAGATTTTTTTCACATACTAATCTACCTTTGTAACTCATTTTCATGCAGACCAAAAAGTAATAGCTAGAAACTTTTGAAATTATGTTTAAAAAAAACTCTGATGTTTGCATCATAACTGACTAAAACTTTGACAATTTTATAAATTAAGACACATAATTTTTTTAAAGACCAAATAGCATGGAGAGGTAAATTTTAAATACCAAGAAGCATAAGAGTGCATGGGGAGTACTAGATGTTTTACCCTAACTCTAATTAAAGTCAATTACTGTAATCCTAATCTTTATTACATTTCATGATGTCCGACTAAGAAACCTAAACTGACACCAAAAATAATGCAAAAAAAGCTGGAGTGGGCAAAAAAATACAGAAATTTAATGGAAGATGGTTGGATCAATAAAATCAATAATATTAATTCAAATGATTTTAAAATATTCATTTTCTTACTTCAAACTTTACATCAAAAAAGATTTACTCAACAATCCTTATGTAATATTTTAAAGTATACTTTAGCAACAAAAGTACTTTTTAAGTGTTAACAAAGAAGGCTCAATATGTAAAGGAGAAAAAAAAGGGAAAAAAACTTATTGAACTTTATCATTCAAATTGTTAAACACCCCACTTCTGTGATGATCTGGTCTATGATATGTAAAAGGGGAATGGGGATGCAATATAATATTTAGAGAATAATTAATCAGTTGCAATATAAAAAAGCCCTGGAACAAAGATTGTTGCCATAATTGGCAGAATGGTTTGGTCCAGGTGAAAAACAAAACTTTTATGTAGAACGGGGTTCCATATCATACAGTTTAATCAAAAATACCTAAAAGAAAAGAATTTTTCATTACTTGATTGGCTAGAAAACTCTTCTGGATTAAATCCTATATAAAATGTTGGGATTGAAATGAATAATAATACAACGATTTGCCTACACCATGAATATATTTACTTAAAGAATTACGCCACATTCCATATAAATTATTGCAATTTATTTAATTAACAAATGACTGATGTTAAAGGTCTGGTACTACCTCTAAAAATATTTTTTAATAAGTTATTTTATTAAATTGAATAAATTAAGGGTACAAATACATATGCTTTTTAAAGTGTTGTTTTTTGAACCACCTTGCACTGCTCGTACTTTGATGTTTTTAGTCAGTTAATTAAACCTCAGACTTATTAACACTTTAAGTTTTATTAACCAATATTTTGTAACAGGTTCACAGGTTTTTTTTTTCCACCCTTTTTTCTAAAAAATTAAAAGTCCAAAAAATGAGTTTCATTTAGCAGTATCTTTTAAGTGCTAAAATATTTTAATCAAACTTAAAAACAATTATAATTCATGATCATATTTAAAAAAATAAAAAATATAAAAACAAAACAAAATCTAAACCATGCAAGAGAAATGGAATAAAAAATTAGCACTCATTAAAGACAATGTTAAAGATACTCCAGAAGTTTTTTGAGATGAAATTTAAGATTTAGTGACTTAAGAATAGCGGCTTTTGCATTAGACAAAACTTTTCTACAATTGTAAATAGTAAATAGATGATAGAAATAAATGGTAGACATATAGGATGAACAATCAAAAATTACAAGCTATGGACTATTTATTATTTTATTAATTTATAAATTGCTATACAAGTATTTATAATTTATTAAAAAAAAAAGTTAGTTGTGTTTAGTAACTTGCGCAAAGTTGTGATGTTGCTTCTTCTAAAAATTATAACTGACATGGTAAACTCTCTTAACTTAGATAAATAAAACAATGATAAACAAGCTAACATATAAAAATGCAACTTAATGAAGTTAAACAATTATTTAATAGTAATTAGATAACTTAAAAATAGATACTTATTCAAAAATTATTAAATTTTTGTTTTATAGAAATTACAAAAAAGAAAAATTTATTCTTGCTTTTAAATATTACAAAAAAAAAGTTTCATGTATATTATTCTAGCAACACTGTAATAAAAAATATTTCTTTTAATATAAACTATAAATTTAATTTTATAAATAATTGTATATCAATTGCTATACAATTATTTATAAAATTATTTCAGGTCACAACCCAAAGTAAGGAAATGTTATTTTATTGATTGATTACCTGGTTTCATTAAATATTGCAAATATAAAATACTCAATATCTTATTATGAACGTTGAACAATAAGAAACATTCACAATTGTTAAGATTATGTTTCTTTATGGTTGGGTATTGAAATAAAAAGTTATTCAAAAACTTTGGCATATAAAGTTGCAGAATGGTCACACGCAAGCAATGAGCGTCTGAAGGAAGAAATGAAGTACAATAAAATAAAGGAGAATTATTTTTTGAACAAAGCATATTTTGACAGTTGTTAAGACAAAAATAAAGATTAGTAGAGGAATATTTAAAAATGATTGAGACAAAAAATTTTATTAAATTTATAAAGTTATTCTTTTATTTAAATAAATTGATTTACTCAAGTATTAATGATAATGTAATGATTTTGATGGAAGTTTTTGTTTTGTTTTTAAAGTTAATTTATTTTAATTGAAGAAATAAAATTTTTTTTGAAGCTTAATGAAGGTCATCCTCTCAATAAATATTCAACAGACTTTTCTAATAAGCTTTTGATACAAACAAAGCACATTGAAACCTAATTGTTGCAATTTTTTTAAGAATATAGTAAAAACTCAGTAAGTTTAAACCAAATATTAAAATTACCTTTATTGGCAGAAAATCCGAAAGATATTTCTGGTAAACTTGTCTCTAAATGATATAATGAAGTTTTCCTTACAAACAAAAACTTTAAAATTAAATTTAAATGTGGAAAAATAATTCTTTAATTTATGTAAACTTTTTTTTTTCTTTTTTATGTAACAAATCATTACTTTATAACATTTTTAAAGCTTTAAATTCTTTTACAATTACTAAAATTCTAAATTTTATAAAAGTAATATATAAAATGATGTTTTGTTATCAAATTTATATCCTTATACATATTTTACATACATACATATAATATAAAACTCTTAACTACAACTTTGGTAGTACTGGGCTAGTAATATAATAATAATAAATAATAGTAATGTAATAATAATAAATAATAGTAATGTAATAATAATAAATAATAGTAATGTAATAATAATAAAATAAACTTAGATGACTTTGTAACAAATATTATTTGAAGTGCATGGAATAAATTGGACATTTATGAAGGATCATTGCTTGGACACATGGAGTAACCAAATACCAGGGAGCATCCAAAATTGTTAACTCTATAAAAGTTGTGAATGACACAGCCAAAAGAGGGGTGAAACTCATTTGCTATATGTTTTACAAACTGTGTTATATATTGACATCGAATTCCAGATATGTAAAAATCAACAGTTGTGAAGGCATTAATGAAAACAAGTGAACAACCAACAAGTGAACAATATGTATCCAAATCTGATTAAAATAAACATTAAATTTAAATAAAAAAATTAAAACTTTGCATCCAAAAAAAAATTAAATACATTTGTTTTATTTTCCGTTGACCCTAAAATCTGATAACATCAAGTTCATTGAGCAACGCCTAGATATCAAAACATCATAATAAATTTTTGCACAGTTTGTTTTTTAGTTAAAAGAAACACAATAAAGAATTGAGGGTGAAATTTTGAACACTTTTTTTATGTTACCTTAATATATATATATATATATATATATATATATATATATATATATATATATATATATATATATATATATATATATATATATATATATATATATATATATATATATATATATATGTATATGTATATATATATATATATATATATATATATATATATATATATATATATATATATATATATATATATATATATATATATATATATATTAAGGTAACAAAAGTTACCTTATTTTCGACTAATTTAACAACTTTTTTCATAATTGAGTGTCTTGTTTCATAATTATGATTAATTATAGAAAAGTTTATATATAAATACTTCGGAATTAATTGATTTTAAAATTTAAACTTAAATAACAAGTTTTGGTAGATATTCAGTTCATATATGTTTAGAGCATTTATTTCCTTGAGTAACAGCTCAGCACTTTTGTACCAATCTATAATAACTTTTCTATAATTAATCATAATTATGATTAATTATAGAAAAGTTTATATATAAATACTTCGGAATTAATTGATTTTAAAATTTAAACTTAAATAACAAGTTTTGGTAGATATTCAGTTCATATATGTTTAGAGCATTTATTTCCTTGAGTAACAGCTCAGCACTTTTGTACCAATCTATAATAACTTTTCTATAATTAATCATAATTATGATTAATTATAGAAAAGTTTATATATAAATACTTCGGAATTAATTGATTTTAAAATTTAAACTTAAATAACAAGTTTTGGTAGATATTCAGTTCATATATGTTTAGAGCATTTATTTCCTTGAGTAACAGCTCAGCACTTTTGTACCAATCTGGGACCAAAACTAATTGACTTGTAATCGCTTTGTATAAATATTTTTAATGAAAGAAGTACAATTGTTTGCCAAAGCAATATTACAATAGTTAATTTGACTATGTATAAATAAATAGTAAAATTTTTTTAAATATTATTTATTTAAACAATGTTTTGTCTTGTAAATAATCCCCAGAGCCTTTGAAATTTTATTCTTGACTTTATTTGGCTTTTTAAATTTAATTTAATTGAGCCAACCATCAACCATTATCACATTGTCGTAATGTTGCTTCTCTTTCTCTTTTTTACAAATACTATAATGGGCACTGCTCTAAAGAGCTAGCGTCTCTTATGCCATCCAGCGCTCGAAATAATTATTTGAAGGTTGCCGATCAACACTGATCGGCAGAAATAATAAAAGTAATAAAGTAGACGACCAAAAAATTATCCAGACGATCAAATTTTTCTTAACTTTTTCTTTAATAGCGTACATTTTAGGTGACGTCAAATTGTTTGTTTTACCGCTATCAACCTACAATAAAGTGCGTTTTAGAAAATTCTATTGATTTTGTGCAATTTTCTAAAATATCTTTACCTTAATGCCTTTTAGTACTAAAAAAATCTATTTTTAGAACACTAGCTGAACGCTATTGGTTTTTAAATACAACAGCGTACGTCCGCGTTATCGTTTATAGTTTTTACTTTTAAACTTAGCTCTTAATTCACTTTTTCACTTCAACGCGTTGCCTTTTAAGTGACGTAAAAATATTTTTTGTGACTCGAACAATTGTTTTTTATATAATGATCGTTTTTTAACAAAAATGACACAATAAAAAGGTAATGAACTTTTTAACCAATATTTGATTATTAAAACTTTTTTAAACTAAAAAAAGGTGAGAAAAAATAATCTTGTTTTGCGCTATTCATTACTTGATTCGTTAGATGATGAATCCAAGTCGATTATTGTTTTTAATCCTGCTTTTTTTGCTTTTTTGGAATAGCATTTTCTTACTGATTGTTTTGGCCTTCGCACGGCATCATTAGTCCATAACTCGATAGCAGAACTTAAATCAAATAAATTGGAATCTTTTTCATCGAAACTTACTCAAATTAAATTTTCTAAACGTTTCTCTTTCAGAGAGTTTCTTGTATCCGTTTTTACTCTATTCATTAGTGAAAAAAGGCGTTCAACTTTCGCATTAGAAACAGGCAAAGTAAATAATAGTTCGGCAATAAGTAAAACCGGAACCGATTCATTTTTCATTGAGCTAGAAAAAATTTGATGCCATAACTTACGATAACCGGTATTATGTGGTGCTAAATATTTTACAGTGTAGTTTACCAAGCTATGCCAAGCATCCAAAACATCATTTACAGTTCCTGCAAAACCAGCATGTCGCAACGGCGCTCTATAAAAGTCAAAAAGATTTTCTATTCCTTCATCCAGGAATGTTTCATTTTCAATACTTTGAAGCCAACCTTCTGTATTTAAAACTTTTGTACCATACATATCAGTAATAGTATCGCTTGTTTCCAAACGCTCTATGATTGAATTTGTTACCAACTCGATATGAATAGATTTAGACTTTACTAAATGTTTAGCATTTACAAAGTCGTTAAGTGCAACACCCTGGAAATAAAACTTTCCTTCTTTTTCAGTCACTTTGGCTTTGAAAACGTTTTACTGTTGGCAAATTAATAAACTTTGTTTTTTGAATACGATTTAAATGGCTTTTAGCTTGTTGAACAAACCCTGATGAAGCCAACACATCTATCTCATCACTTTGAAAACATTTTGACAACATCTTTGCTGGTGCTAAAATCTCAATAAACAACGCGATATAAAGAGGCATTCTAGCATGAATCCACTTTTTGTGGTATCCTTTAAACTTAGCTCTTTCAGCATTGGTAAATGTTATATCTTCAGTCATATTTTCCAGATGTGTTAAATAAACACCGTATTTATCTAAAATCATTTCTAAAGCCTGAACTTTATGTGAAATCCATCGTGTACCTAAAAATGAAACAAGATTATACAATTTATAATTTACTTTATACTTGCAAAAACTAAAAATATAGGCGTCACGCATAACTGTAATGGTAATAAATATAAGATAAATAAATCAAGCAAAAAAAAGAAAATACCGGAGGCTTTCTTAGGTCGGAAACCACCAATGTTATATTCATCATCTTCTATAATAGAAACGAGTTCACCCAAATGTCTTAACTTTTTGGGGGATTTTTTGTAAATGTAATGCATTTTTAAAATCATGTAATCAACGTCATTGAATGAGGCTGTTTTTCCTAATTTTTCTTTTAATGATAACTCGAGACGATGTGCTACACACCAGCCAAACGTGATCCAGGGGACTTCAGCCTTGAGCAACATTTTAACGCCTGACTTGCTCCCTCTGTTAACGGATGCGCCATCCGCACCAAATCCAACTAGTTTTTTATTGCAATTTACGACTTCTATATTCTCGAGTGACTTTTTTATGGTGTTGAAAACTCTGTGCGAAGTTTCATACTCAACATCCAAAAGTGAAAGAAAATCACATTCAACGTTTACTTCAGATTTTCCAGTTGGAGCCGGATTAAAATATTTTTAAGAATTTACCAAAAAAATCCGGGAAAAGGCAGTTTACTACAAATCAAAGCTTTTGAAGATTGATTTTTTAACCTTTTCTCATGAAATAAATTGAAAATGCCTAATCATGCAAAAAGTCATGATGAGAACAGAAAAGTTGTTTGAATCATGTGTCTTAGAAAAGGAAATCGTGAATTGACACCATTTTTGGTCAGCAAAATTCAAAACAACTACAAAAAGCAGTTCAACTTTGATGATTCAAGAATTCCTCAAAGTCTTTGTGATCCATGTAGACTGGCCCTTGGAAAGTGTGATCAACGGCAGAAGGTCGTTTTGCCCAAGCTGTTTCAATTTGAAACCATTGATATAAAAGTTCACACACGTGGTCAAGCTTGTGAATGCTTGATTTGAGACATAGGGCGACTTGAACTGACAGAGAAACACCCTCTTGAAAGAACAAAACTGGAGAGAAAACATCAGACAGAAGATGTTCTACATGTTTCTCTCTTATTGGTCGAGGTTTACCCCATTATTGCTCTTCATCACAGTTTCCTAAAAACTTAAAGGAGCTTTCAAAATCTGATGGAATTGTGGCAGAACAAATTGCCAGCTCAACAATTGTCAGCAAAGAATCTTCTCCTTGTGGAACCATTAGACTTGTGCAGCCAAAAGAAGGAGGACTGCTCCCAATCACACAAGGTTTGTATATAATTCTTCATTAAGGTTGACCATCACATTTAAGTAACTAAAATATTATATTTTACACTTTAACAGGTCCTTCTTGCTCTAAGCAGTTGTTCAAAGATCCAGCTGTAGTCACCGCAAAGGATCTTTCTCAAGTTCAACTAAATACAGGATTGTCAAACAGTGGAATAAAAAAACTGACTTCCACCATTAGGCATGTTTCGTCTGCCAAAGTTCTGGAACCAAATATATTGCACAAGTTTCAGGATCTCGGAAAAAGTCTAGAAGAACACTTTACACAAACCCCAACAACATTCATTAGTTCAGATCAAAAGAAGTCTCAAAGTGTTGTTGTCCATTGCAATCTCCAAGCACTCACTGAAGAAGTTCTACTTTCAAGGAAGGTTTTCTCATAACACATCATTAAACTTGGAATAGATGGTGGTGGAGGTTTTCTTAAAGTCTGCCCCAACCTTTTTATGGTGGTCAATTTTCAGGGAATGATTGCCACAAGCTCCTCAAAAATCTCGACCTTCTCCAAACACTGGCTGAAAATGACAGTGCCTTTCAAGTTTTCAGCATCATTGACAGCTTTCGAAAGTTTGGCAACAAGTTGGGTTGCACTTATGCAGAAAAAATTGATTCAGTCAGAGATTTATATTTGGCATTGCCAAGAGGAAACATCACTCCAAAAGTACATGCAGTGTTTTTTCATGTTAAGGACTTCATCCAAAAAACAAGGTCTCCTCTTGGAATCTACAGTGAGCAAGCAACAGAATCTATTCATCATCGTTTTCAGAACCATTGGCAATGATACAAACAACCTTCCAGATTATGGAAAATGGCTAGAAATGTGCCTAGTTGATTATAACAGCAAATGTCTGTGAACTGTTAAGAACTTGTAAAGAATTTTTTTTGTCAAGAATGTTGTTGCTTTAAATGTGGAATTTTTAAAAATATTTCTTTTGTATTTACTCACATGATCTTTTACCTATTTGGATTACTACCAAACTATTATTGAAATTATTCTAGAGTTAACTTATTAGAAAAAACTTTCAGAAAAGCAATATTTTACCCAAGAGATCTTTTACCTATTTGGATTACTACCAATTTTATAACATAAAAACTTTCACATTTTCATATTTTTTGTTTCTTTATTATGTTAAGTAGGTTTTATTATTTTCAAAGAGCTTTTTGAATGTTAAGATATGCTGTAAAAATGTAAAATTTTGAGAATGCTGTCATTTTATGAATATGTGCAAAATAAAAATTTTCAAAAGTTATTTTCTTTCTCTGACGTAATAGGATGATTTGATTTTTTATATTTTTGGAATCCAGGAGTCATAAGCTTTCACAGGCATATTGTGGTTTCTTTGGAATTTGAGTTGACACTTATTGCTTATTTAGGAGAACAATGTACAGTCTGTTGTGCATAATATGCCCTTGTTTTTAGAAAAACAAGAAAGTACATAAATTGGTCTGTAGTTAGATTTTATTGAGTCACCGCTGCCTTTGCATGTTGGAATTATTTTTGCTATTTTTATTTGGTCAGGAAAAATGCTGTCTTTTTAAGAAAGATTAAAAATTATAAAAAAGAAGTTTCTCTATAATATACAACAGCACGGTTAAGTTCATCCAGTCCTGCACTCTTATTTGTTTTCAGCATACTAATCGCTAGCTGAAGTTTATTAACTGAAAGCTTTTTCAACTAACTTATAGTTTCTCCTGCATTCAAGTTTTTTAAGCAAAAAAATTATGATCAATTATAAAAACAAAGGCTTTTGACTAGTCTATAAAAAAACCATGCTATCAATTTTTATAGTTTGGATAGTAAAGTATCCATTTTGTTTTATCAGTATTTAAAGATTTTTTTTTAATATATATTTTTTTATTTGTCATTATTAATATAATTATATACAACATTTTACTTTGAAATATATGACTGAAGCAAGTAGAAGACAATAGTCTTATTATCTTGCCCCATTTTCGTTGTTGACAAAGTATAACAAAATATAAACCAAATACAAATATAATAAAATATTTATAAAACATATGATTTTTTTTTTTTAATTTTCTACAATGAAGATCATTAAATAACCAAGCAAGGAATATAATAGAATTTCAAGAATTTCAAGAAAGATTTAAATTGAAAAAGGAAAAATATTTAAATTTAGAAAAAATTTTAAAAATAAGAGATTCTTTTATTAATGTTGAGGTCTAGCTGTCGCTTTACAACGCATTTAAAATGTTGGAATGAGTTTATTGTTTTTATTTTATTTGTTAGAAATGAGTTCCGCAATTGGGGTCCTCTGCTGGATATTGAGAATTTAGATTGTGTTAAAAAGGTTTTCAGAATATAGCAGTTCTTGATAGAGTATTTTGTTTGATATTTGTGATTAATAAGGTGAAAATAGTTATGGAAGACTTCAGGGACTAGATCATTTTTGAGTTTAAACATGAACTGAAGAATGCAATATATATTTTGTTTGTAGATATTAAGAACTCTCAGTTCCCTCATTAAATGTTTAGAATCAGCATTTCTATTTGCATTTGTAAATATACGGCATGCTTCTTTTTTGTTTTTTATATATTAAATCTAGTTTTGAATGGTAGGTACTAGCCCAGGCAATATTGCAGTAGTTAGTATAGCTATGTATATTTGCAAAATAAAAACTTTTAAGGCATACATTATTTAAAATATATCTGGTTTTATGCATAATTTCAATGTTTTTAGATATTTTGTTTTTTAATATATTAATGTGGACTTACCAGCTAATATGTTCATCTAATAACACCCCGAGAAATTAAACTGAGAATGCTTGATTTAGTCTAACTTTGTCTAATAGAATATCTGGAAGTTTTAATGGTAGTTTGGTAATTATATCTTTTTTCACAAAACCATACAGAATTGTATGGTTTTGTGAAAAAAGATATAATTACTTTTCTCAATATTGACAGAAAGTTTGTTTGCTTCAAACCAATTGCTCAACTCTTCAAGTTCCTGATTTACTGTTTTCAAAAGTGTAATAATGTTAGAGTGGGTAATAAAAGCTTATCATCTGAAAAAAAAATGAAGTTCAATATACTGGAAGATAAAATATGTCATTTATGTAGATTAGGAAAAGCAGAGGTAAGATACCCTAAAGATATTAGTATTGCAAATTTTTTTATATCAAAATAAAAATTTTTCAAACTCTCAGTTTTAAAAAGTATTTTTATATTTCCATGTGACTGAAACAAGTTTAAGTTTGCAAAAATTATAATCTTTAAATTGCAAGCTTTTTTAAGATCATTTATATATATATGTATATATATATATATATATATATATATATATATATATATATATATAATATATATATATATAAATAAATATATATATAAATAAATAAATATATATATATATATATATATATATATATGAATATATATATATATATATATATATATATATATATATATATATATATATATATATATATATATATATATATATATATATATATATATATATATATATATATATATATATATATATATATATATATATATATATATATATATATATGTATATATATATATATATATATATATATATATATATATATATATATATATATATATATATATATATATATATATATATATAAATTAAATTAGTAGAAAATCTCTTAACAAAATTTTTTTTCCCTTTTACACTGTGTTTCATCAATGAAGACTCATCAGAAATGAATGATCAAATTTATTAAACTTCAAATTTTACCCAACAAAATTAAATTACAGGAAGTCGCAAATGTCTTAACTACTGTAAATTTTCACAAATTTGTGGATTATGCTGACATAACATCGTTGTAATGTTGCTTCTCTTTCTCTTTTCTACTATAATGGGCACTGCTCTAAAGAGCCAGCGTTTCTTGTGCCATTTAATAAAATTCATTTTCGTGTTACTCGTCATTTAGTCTCATCTTTTTTCTGTGACTTTAAAAAGTGCTAAGTCTCTAAGTGCTTAAAATCCTTTAAAATTCTTCCTTAAAATTCTTTTTGTTTTTCCTTGAACATCAGTTTTTTGGAATTTGATTTTTTAAGTTCCCATTTATATTTTTACAACATGGTGTCTTTTGAATGCTTTTTATTTTTGAAAAAATTACTTATGTTTGGAAAAATGTTTTTTCCATTCACTCTCTGTTATGCCAATGTATTGTTTATCAGGTACATTTTTAGAGAAAACAACACATTTATATACCACATTTTTTGATAAGCAACTTCCACTCATTGGACAATTGTTTTTATGTTTTTATGCTTTTATGTTACAATTTTCTGTAGTTTTTTCATTTAGGATTTCTTTTTTGTTTAACAAAGCTTTATTGTGACCTTTTATAATTCTTTCCATATTTGTATTACAAAATAAAATAAAAATTTTATGCAATTTACTAGAGGGCAGGAAATGCTTAATGACCAATTTTAAAAACATTATAATTACATCTATGTTAGTGGAATTATTTTTACAATATGGGTGGTTTAAACAAATTACTTTTCTAGTTCTATATCGCTTTTTGGTATTCTTTTTTTCAGGGTCAAATTATAGTTAAAATTTTCAAAACCACTATTTCTAAGGGCATCTTCAAATATTTGTGTAGAGGAATTGAATAAATTTTCAATAGAGGAGTTTTGGTTTAGCCCGTTATTAATTAAAATCGGAATTTGTTTTAGATTTTGGGATGAATGATTTGAGTTAATATTAATATAAAATAACTCATTGTTTGGTTTTTTGAAAAGCTTATATGAATTTTTTGAGAGGTTTAATGTGACATCAAGAAAGTTCACAATTTTTAAATTTATGTTTATTTCGATTTTGAAAACCAATATTTTTAAAAATTTTTATATCTTTTGTAAATTTATCAAGCTGTAGACCAGATAAAAAATCTGGTCTACAGCTTGATAAATTTACAAAAGATATAAAAATTTTTAAAAATATTGGTTTTCAAAATCGAAATAAACATAAATTTAAAAATTGTGAACTTTCTTGACGCATTACTATTAAACTATCATTGCAACAAAGGCCTAAATCATTTATATTGATTACATTACTTAATAAATCTAAAATGTATAGTCCAACAAATTCACAATTTCTGCTCCGTCATAACTGACCATTGTTACGTCAAAGCAGTCATGTATGTTGTTTTTTTCCTAGTTTCCTTATTAAAAGAAAGTAAGGTTTTTCTACAATGTTTTATTATACGGATTGTATCTTCAGAAATAACTGTGTGGCTTTTTGGAAATTCAATTGCTTTATCTAAAATGTTAGCAGTTATTGAGGCCTAAAAATGATTAATGTAAAATTGAATAAATGAACACTAATTTTTATTTTCGATTACAGAGAATCAATTTACAAACATCAGTTGCATTTTTCCACTTTTGCAAATTTAATTTATCTCTAAGGATATTATTAATTTTGTCTATTTTAATTTTGAATACGTGTCCAATCTCACTTTTTGAGGGAACCAATAACCT